AGGGTGCCATTTAAAAAAATTGGCCGTGACCTTCATATAACCTTGAAAATAAGGTCAAGGTCAAAAAAGTTATCGTCATATGGTTTCCCCCTTCGTACAGAACAACTTTCATTTGGTTCATTTTTATGTAAAATGAACCGTTTTCGAGATAATCGCTTGTCTCACGTTAAATGGACCACCTTGTATATAAATGAAGTGGTGTGAGACCGAGTGGGGCTTCAAGAACAGCCATCGGACAAGATCTCATTGCATCCGTTATATTAAGACATGCTAACCGCTGGATTTGTGCCAGTTGTTGTTGTGCTGTCTTATGATTTGTTTTTACAATGAGCCATTCGTGGTTTAAGACCCCGGTTCCTTCAGAGAAACCTGCGGTAGATGTGGTTAGCCATAATGGCCTTTTCCTCACCTTGTCTATGTGAGAGTTCCAGTTTAATTTACTGTCTAGTATTACCCCTAGGTATTTAACTTCTGTTTTGAGGTTAATAGTTCTGCTTTCAATGGAGGGTGCTCTTAATTGTAACTTCCTTCCCGAGTGAAGGCTGCTGCGCCCATTACTTCTGCACCAAGTGCTGGTAAGTAGGTAACAAGGGCTTTCTGCATCAGTTGAGTTATGATTGTGTCATATTTACCTCGGATTGTAATTACCAGGTCATCAGTACACCTCTGAGTTATGAATCCATTTTTTGTTAAGGTGTTCATCAAGTCATCAACTATAGGCGTCATAGAATACGCCTGTTAGCAACCTTTTCTTATTTTCGACAGTTTTGGGAATAAATAAACTTAAAGTTGATAAATAAAATGTTTCTAAAATTCTTTAATGATATGTAACAGTTTATAAACAATGTTTATTGTTAAAGCATTACAAACAATACAGTTTCCTCTTGGAATTTCATTATTCATTTTCTTTACGTAACACACACATTCATATTTATTTATTTATTGAAACAAACAGGTTACCTTAATTACATGTTTCAACTATCTTAATAGTAGAACAACATCTACTAAAATCAGGCCGCAATATAAAATAGTGATTAACAACTAATACTCAATCCAATTGAGCGCCATAAAACATTTAGTTCTGAACTCCTTGTATAACACAGAGAATATTGGTAATGAGTTTCTTGCTGATACTTTATTATATAATATTACCATTTTATTTAATGGTGAGGTTCTTCTCAGTTCCGTAGAGAAAAGCTTTATATTAAACAAAGCCCTAGGGCGACCAGAATATGCAGGGACATACAAACCAACGCCTCTCAAAATTGATGGAGCATCCACTTTATTGTTTAGTATCTTATACAGATAACCAAGACTTATCACACCTCGTCTGACCGACAATTTTGTCATATCAAAATATATCCGACAGAATTCATCAGACTGAAAACCAATAAATGTATTGTATTGTTTGTAGAAAATATATTTAATAAATTTGTTTTGTACTGTCTCAATGACATTCGAATAATAGGCAGTTCCAGGGTCCCATACCACAACAGCATATTCAAGTTTTGATCTAATTAATGAATTATATAGGTACTTTATGGTGTCAATATTGAAAAAGGAGTGACAGTTTCTTATAATAAATCCTAACAACCTTAGAGTTGATGCAGTTGTAGCTTTTACGTGCTCGTCAAAGTTAAAGCTTTGTGTATATATTACTCCTAAATCTTTTTTCCGTACAATGTTTTTCAGTTTATAGTTATTGATATAATACTTTCTTTAAAGTGAAAGTAATTTTTTCACATTTTTCCGCATTAAGGTGGAGCCTATTCTCGTTGCACTAAATCATTAGTCTTCTAAGGTCAGATTGTAGGCACACACAATCGTTTTCATCACGTGTACTTCGAAACAGTTTTAGGTCGTCAGCAAACAGTAGGCATTCAGATTCCTTTATAATGGACGGCAAGTCATTAATAAACAATAAGAAGAGTAAATGTCTGTTTTCCAAATAAGATACAAAAAAATTTAATGTTTGTTTAGAAAAACCATACAAAGCTAACTTGTCTAGTCAGTGTATATGACGTCAACCTGACCATTTAAGATAATTAAGTTTGTTTCTACAGACCTATTAGGGATAAATCCATGCTGGTTAACATGCAATGCCTCTTTGACGTGATTGAATATTCTATTATATATAATGCTTTCGAAGGCTTTTGCAAAACAGGATATTATTGAAATTGATCTATAATTGACGATTTCACTTACAGAACCAGACTTGTGTATAGATACAATCTTTGCCCACTTCCAATGTAAAGAAAACGTACAGGTGGAAATTGCTAGGTTAAAGATATTAGAGAGAGCCAACAAAAAAAACTCTTTGCAACCTTTTACAATATAAGGGGGTATAGTATCTGGTGCTTGTGCCTTTTTTGGCTTTAACTTTCTTATTGCTTCCAATATTTCGTTATTCCAAATAGGATTAAATGTAAATATGTTCAACGAGCTTCTTTGAAGGGATTCATCATATTTATTAAGCATATAAGTAGAAACATTATCAAAAACAGAATTGAAATATTCACCAAATGCCATACTTATATTTTCTGCAGAAGAAAGTTGAACACACGTTGCTTCATTTAAGTTTCTTTTTTTGTTAGAAATGAAATTCCAAAAAGAATTTGGCTCATTCTTAATATTTTCTTCCACCTTAGCGGTGTAGCTATTGTATGCTATGCCAATGTCATGCCTTATGCTAGCTCTTAACTCCTTAATTTATCCATATGGTATGCAGAAATGTTTTTAAATTTGTGATGAAAGTTTTTAAGTTTAATACTTTTTATTATATCATCGTTAAACCAAACAGGATACTTCCTAGAAGAAACCCTTTTCATTGGTGTATACTTTTCAATTATTTCATTAAGTATGCTGTAGAATGCATCTACAGAGTCATTCACGTTGTGAAACGAACTTAAGAACGAAAATGACGTATATATTTAGGAGTTAATACTATTTTTTCTATATTACTGTTTATCTGAATTTCTAATGAGGGCTGAGGTTCATATCGGAAATTATCAAATCCAGTGTTCTACTATTTCCACTAGGAATATCATTCAACGACTTGCAATTATAAAAGCTAATGAAGTCTCCAAAGTTATTATACTTAGGGCCGATCTTATAAAGCCTTTCTTATGCCAGAATAGTTATTCCAATGGTTGGTAATACTGTGGGTATAACGCGCAGCGCGCATGTGGTTTGTTTACGTTGTTTCCGTTTAGCGACTGTCAAATTGATCAGCGGTGTTTACCATTATTCTGTTTTTATTTTCATTTTACGTCCTTACGAATATGAATGTGAACAAAATATTTTTAAGTTTTGGTATTAATAGTTCCACATAGTAACAGTGCTAGAAACATTTGACTGTTGATGTCCATGTTGCAAGTTTCGTTTAAATATTAAAATAATAAACAAATATATATAACTTCTTATCTTGCAAAATTCAATTTATTTTAACGGAACCGGTTTCGACTAGTTTTACTTAGAAACATAGAAGAAGAAACATTTGGGTTAGCTGTACGTCTCTTAAGACGGCTAAACCCGAATGTTTCTAGTTCTACGTCTAGTGTTAGTTCTAGTTTTACACTAGCACTGTTACCATGTAGAACTAACACTATATCTAGAACTAGAATCATTTGGGTTTAGCCGCACGTCTCTAAAGATGGCTAAACCCGAATGATTCTAGTTTTAGGTATAGTGTTAGTTCTGATGATAGTACTAACGTAAAACTAGAACTAACACTAGACCTAGAACTACAAAGTTTCGGGTTTAGCCGTGCTTCAGCCGCACGAATGTTTCTAGTTCTAGGTCTAGTGTTAGTTTCTAGTTTTATAGTTATTCAGCGCTAGGTTGTTGTATATTTATGGAACTAAATGTAGAACTAATACTAGAACTAGAACCATTAGAGTTTAGACGTCTTAATAGACATATGGCTAAATCAGAATGTTTGTAGTTCTAAGTGTAGTATCAGTTTTAGTTTTAATAACTCAGGCCTGCGATCAACAACCCTTTTTGAAACTGAAAGGCGATCTTCATTGATTTTTGGGTGCTGAATCTGGGAAAAATAATGAAAAATTTTCATCACCCCTAGTTTTTTTCGCAAATTTTACTTATTTTTGGATGTCTCGCAAATTTTAAGTTGAATATCAGCATTACGCGTTATTCATACAATAATTATTACGTCTGATTGATTATAATCAATGTCAAACAGTCTCTGACTTATTCCTAGTATAAGCTATTCGCGTTGAATTGCACGGTATAGCTATCCTGCGCCGTATACCGTTACTTATGCTATACGCCGGTATTGTAAGACGTTTATTCTAGTGTTTATACCAACATTTAGTTATTCTTGGTATATGGAGCGGTATAAACTGTTTTGTAAGATCGCCCCTTAGTATTATTAATAGAATAAATGTCAAACCCAATACCTGTAACTAATGGTAAGTTAAAATCTCCCAAAAATTTAAAGTTTGCTTCGTATGTTATATACAAATTAGTCATTAAGTTTATAAATTCTTGGTACACTTCTGCATTACTAGACGGTCTGATATATGATACCACTAATATTATCAACAAATTACCAAAATTTACCCTAACTGCTTGTATTTCAAGTTCAGTTTCCAAACGGATGATACATGCTATATACTTAGTTTTGACCCCAATAAGAACTCCACCACCGAGCATACCCATAGTCTCAGTTCGATCCACCCTAAAGACATTGTATCTCGAATTCATGAACTCTGCGCTAAAAAAACCCGCATTCAACCACGTTTCGGTCAGACAGATAATAGAAAAATCCTATAAATATTCATAACCTACTTGTGTTAGTCCAAGTTTTTTTAACGAAATTATGTGCTGAGATCATACTTTCATCAATACAGAAGATTGTCTCAATTAATTCTGATTTTTTATGTTCTATTATAGTTGAGAAAAGTATCCTTTTAAATCTATGGCTAACTTAACACTTGTTGAGTAATTATGGTTACTTATTTTATTTTGATTTGTTTTAGCTCTTGGAGTTGGAATTATTAAGATATGATTTCCCATATCAAGAGCATAATATGCTCATTGATGAAGATTATATGGGGTTGATGAGCGACACTTTATTTTCAACTATAAGTAATCAACCGTTCGCTTTTCCTGATACTCGAGAAATTGGTGAGATCAAAAAATATTTTTAATATTGAAATTATTAATTTATTTTTATCAAAATTAGCAAAAGCTGGTTTATCACATTTTATCCAACCAAGTCTTGGGCCCTTACAACCAAACTTACCAAATAACGATTTAATGGATTTTGAAGGTTTAGGTAACAAAAATATTAATAAAAGAACCAAATTTAAAAGAAACTAATTTTTTTAGATATTTTATCGGGGAAATTACCTACTGTACCTGAAGAACCAGTTTGTAATAATAAATCGCTTCCATGGAATTACCCAGAACTAGATTTAGCATCAACCTCAAACAACATAAATGTAAATTATTGTTATAAAAAAGTCACAATTTTATTTTTATTAAAAATTTTTAGTTAAATCTATCTTCGAGTACCATACAACAATTTCAAAGCTCATCTACAACAATTTTAGATGTCCAACAACTACAAACGAATCGTCAACAACAACCCTACGTCAACGACGTTTTATTACAGCAACCAACATATTCGGTGATATCCAAGAGTAGTGTAAAATCAAAAGAAAAAGGACCCCAACAAACCACCAACTACCCCGATTATCAAATGGCTGAGATGTCAACACCAGTGACTTTAACCGTGTTGCAATGTACCGCTTGAAAAACTATTAAGTTGTAAGCTCAAAAACCCTGTTACGCTGTTGTTTTTTCAGTACCGCAACAGACGCAGCAAGGTTTCAAAGGTTACAAGGAAAATTATAAGAAGCCAAATCCGGTTCCAGGAGGGCAAAGTAAAATTCCTCAATTGGTGGTATATCATTTTTTAAATTAATTGTTCGATTATTTTCTTTTCTGATTATCAATGTTTTTGTTTTTCGTTTTTGGTGAGTAGAAAGAGGAAAAAGTTAACGGGATGAGATCAATACAAAGAGTGAGGAGGTCACGATCGAATACGCGGGAACCGCTTAAAAGGGTTCCACCTTTACAATCTGCCGTTAGTGACCCTTCTTTAATTAGTCCAGCGAATAATATTATCTTATCACAATTGCTCACAAATAGTAAGGATTTTTTTAATATAAACTTCCCAAAACTCCCGGGACGGAGCTATAAGTTTTGAACGAGTGAAAAAAAAAACATGAAAATTTGGGGATCACTAAAGAGTCATAAAAACTACATTCTTAGATAGTTTAGAACTTCCATGCAATGTGGAGTTTTTTAGGGGATGACCACCTCTACATTTTTAAATAGCAACCCCTGTTTAGTTTTTCCTTACTTTAAAGGTAATTACCATCTCGAGCCTCCAAGGGAGTATGCACAAGGGGCCCGCTGGGGCCTAAGTGCGCGTAAATATTACGCACCCCTCTCTCTACATACATACATACAAAGGTAATTAAAAAAGAAACACAACCCCATAAACCAAAACCCAATATATTAATTCTTTTGAGAATTATGAGGGGTTGACTACCAAATGGGAAAATAAAATGTTTTCATGTTTTTTTGTAGGTTTACTACGATTTTTACAACAAATGTTCAAATTGTTGACCTTCTTCGATCTCGCAATGACGCAAACGTTCATAAATGGAATTTTGAACCAATCCACGTTTAATAAGAGAAGACCATACTTAGAGACCACAGAAAATTAATGTATGGGTTGGTATTATGGGAGAGAATGTAATTGGTCCAATTTTTACTAATGAAAATTTGAACGGAGACAGATATCTGCAACTGTTAAAAAATCAAGTGGTTCCAAGTGTACAGGTATCCCAATTTCGTTGTCCGCATAGGCTATCTCCAAAACTAAAAGAGATAGAAAAAAAGTAGCTTACATGTCATGATCTCGTTTTTCGAGAAAATGCTAATGCTGAAAACTGCGAACAGCTATCGTCTTTTGTTTTCGCCCTATCGGCAAAAATTGAAAATTTTGCGAAAACGACAATCGCGAATATCTCACTTATTATTAAAGATGGAGTATTATAAATAAAACATTATATGGGCAACTTTTTACGAAGAATTCAGTGGCGTAGGTAGAATTTTTTTCCCATCTTTTATTTTCAAGATTTTAGACGTAACTTTATTTTTTTAAATGGATACCATAGTTGGCTACGACCTAAAATAATTTGTTATTTTCTTCTGATAACAAATATATATAGTTTGTAGGGTATATTTCCTATAGTTTTTGAATAATTACTAAAAATTCATTTTGTTCTATCTAAAACTAATGTATGTATTTAAAAGTTAATGTTGCTATGGTGATAACCATACATACTATGATGGAACATAATGGATCAATTTTTTTTGTTCTTTCTAAAACTATTGTATGTATTTAAAACTTAATGTTGTTATGGTGATAACCATACCATGATGGAAAACATTGTTTCCAATTATTGCCAAAGTTTGTAGTAGTATTTAAAAATTCACTAACAACTCTGGCATTATGTGCTGATACTCCGTCATATTGATATATATCATTTGAGACATATTTAATGGCAAATTGTCGACCAAAGGCTCAATGTGCTGCCTTAATATAATATACCTCAATACAGTATGTCCACGGAAAAGGTGTTGAATAATTCCATAAATTCCATTTATGAGCGTTTGGGTCATTGCGAGACCGAAGAAGGTCGAGAATTTGAACAATTGTTATAAAAATCGTAATAAACGTACAAAAAAAACATTTTATTTTCCCATTTGGTAGTCAATCCCTCATAACTCTTGAAAGAATTAAGATATCGAGTTTTGGTTTATGGGGCTGTGTTTCTTTTTTCATTACCTTTAAAATAACGTAAAACTGGACAGGGGTTGCTATTTAAAAATGTATTGGTGGTCATCTCCCAAAAAACTCCATATTGCATGGAAGTGCTTAACTATCTAAGAATGTAGTTTTTATGACTCTTTAGTAATCCCCAAATTTTCAAACATTTTTCTTCACTCGTTCAAAACTTATAGCTCCGTCCCGGGAGTTTTGAGAAGCCCTGTATACTCTATTTTTTAATTCCGAGGAGTAAAATGAAAAGTCACGTTTACACAGTGTAATTTTGCAAAGCTATTTTTTTGGCGGGAGTTTAAAAAAAAGATTTCAATTAAACTGTTAAATTTATCTTATAGATAAACAAAAATAGCCGTTACCATGGTAATAATCCCCTAGATAGCTTAACCAGAAGATGGTAGTAACGAGCCTAAACATAATAAAAACCAGGGCGTACCTACTTACTTTGTCCCACATAAAATACAACATGTCAATATAATTTGACATTACACTAAAATTTCGATATGACTAATATACAGGGTGTTTCATAATATATGCGCAGGACTTCAGGATGTGATAGCTTGTCCTAAAATTTGAAAAAACGTTTCTATCAACTTTCCCTCTAAAATACCATTTTCGAGATACAGGTGTTGAAATTTAATAAAAATAATCGTTTTTTGCGAATATCTCCGAAACTCTTTTGTTCTCATAATAAACTAAGTTTTGTGCGAGAAAAAGTTTTGTTAAAGTCATAATTGGTGAAGATTTTGAAGGGGTAGTGGTTGTTTTCCTCCCCAACTTCTACGCCACTGGAAAAAGTACGGTTCAAATGGGTGTCTCAAAACCGTACTTGTTCCAGTGGCGTAGAAGTTAGAGAAAAAAAGAACCAAATTCAAAATCTTCATTAGTTATGACTTTAAACAATTTTTTTCTCGCACAAAACTTAGCTTATTATGAATTCTGTACGATAAACGGTTCCGGAGATATTCGCAAAAATCTCGAAAATGGTGCATTTTAGAGAGTAAGTTGATAGAAATTTTTTTTAAAATTTTTGGATAAGCTATCACATCCTGAAGTCCTGCGCATATATTATGAAACACCCTGTAAACATCCTATACAGGTGTTCCGTGACTCGACCGACAAACTTATACCATATATTCCGGGGATCATTACGATCAAAAAATGGTATATCACCTATAGGTGAATTCCTCTTTGTTATGGAGATATCAAAATAAAAATGATAAAAGGAAATTTATTCATTTATAAGAGGGTAGCTAATTAACACAAAATTAAAAGCAGCTGTTCAAAATGAGAACCGCAATTTTCTTCAAAACATGAAGACAAACTTCCTCTTTGTTTCGGAGATATCAAATTTAAAAAAAAATAAGAAAAAAATAAAAATGATAAAAGAAAATTTATTCATTTATAAGTGGGTAGCTAATTAACACAAAATTAAAAGCGGCTGTTCAAAATTTTCAGATTAAATTTCGCTTTTAATTCGCTTTATAACAAAAAAATTTCTTGGTAATAACCTAAAAGGTTTTTATCACAATTTTAGTATAATTGCAAAAATTTCAACCATGATGGAACGTATCGGCGCAGAACTTTTCAATGAATTATACGCGGTTAGTTTATCTGATTGTCCGAGTGATTTCGAAATAAGTTGTAGTAATTCCGAAAGTGATGAATCTGACATTATACCACCAAAACGGCAAAAAAGAAATGTTATAGAATCCGATAGTGCAAGTGATTTTGAAGATTGAAATGAAAATGACATTACACCTTCTTTGGAGGCTAGTGTAAAATTAGAACTAACACTAGATATGCAACATAGTAATATCTTATGCTAACTAGCGCTACCTGACACTACCACTATAACTAACACTAGACCAAGAACTAGAAACATTCGGATTTAGCCGCACGTCTCTCAAGACGGCTAAACCCGAATGATTCTAGTTCTAGGTTTTGTGTTAGTTCTAGTGATAGTTTTTCTTCAGATGCACGGCTAATCCCGAAATTTTCTAGTTTTAGTTCAATAAAAATATGTTACATAGTGATATTTTATGCTAACTAGTGCTACCTACTGCCTACCAACCGTCTTAACACTTCGCTGACCGGCAATTTTGCACAGAAACTATGTCATGTCACCAGCTATTTTTTTTGTAAATGAATTTGAAAGTACAATGTTTTAAATAAGCTCCAATAAATTTTATTTATACTGAATGAAATTAAACTTTGGACATATTTTTTATACAGTGCCCGCCAAAAACTCAACAACACCCGTTTTTTTTTCTGTTCCATTCATTTCATTTCGATCTAAAGTAGTTTCAAGATGGTGGCCACTTCCAGTCGACCGGAAGTAGACCACAATTTCGTTATTTTATATGGAATGCTATAGTTTTTATTGCACCTTCTAATTATCTGCGCATTTTTAGTTATTGAGTTATTTTGATTTAAAATTTTTTTTGACATATTTCACCATATTATTTAAAACCCCATATCTCAGCCAATATTCATTTAAGAAAGCTCTAACTTGGCACGACTATTCTTCAGATGATATTAAATAGATTGTCATTTGTTGTATCAGAGTATCTTATACAGGGATGGTCTTAAATTGAATTACCGTTTTTCAGCATTCAATGGCAAGAAAGTCCAAAATTTTAAATGGAACGCCCCATATTTTATTAGGTTACCAGAAAGGGAATATAATTATCTACAAATAATCTATAAACATTCCTATACCTATTTGTTGTAGTTTTTCTCATAGTGGGAAATTTATCAAAACATGCATGAAATGCTGGAAACCGGTTATATTTTTATTAGAAGGCAATCGTACAAAAGTCATTTGCCCTCTCTGAAGATTCTTGGACGTTTCTATTAGTACCTTTGGCAATCCACGGTTCTCTCGTGTGGTACAACATACAAGCATTTTCTTTTCTAATAATTTTTAATTTCTAGTTCTTTTCTAATTTGGCTCAATAAATTATTATTATTATTAATATACCAGCTGTAGAAACGGTGTTGTAGTAATTATCTTGATATACCGGGTGAGTCGGGAGGAATAGACCAAACTTTAGGAGTGTATTGTACAATTAAATAACTACAATTAAACAAAATCTTATACATTAACATTAAATATTGACCATCATATCATTATTTTAATAATTGTACGAAAATATCGCCATTAGCTTCTAAACATTACCGGCTTCCTTTACTAAGAGCTCTTGCCAAAAATGAAAATCAGACAACAACATATGAGTTTTTTTACATTATTTTCAACCGTACAATACACTCCTAAAGTTTAGTCCGTTCCTCCCGGCTCACCTTGTATATACATGATACCAACAACCAAAATACAGCTGCAAGACTGATAATATAGTTTATTGTAGTTTTTGTCGTCCATCCGAATAAATCTGAAAGTTGCAAATGTGTCCAGACTCACATTCACTTTTTGTAATCTTTATACCGGATTATATGTTTTGAAGCTAAGACGTCCTCTCCATGATATCATTACTTCATCAAGTAATAATTGCTGTTTCGCTACATACATAGATTAAATTTTTGGAATAAGGTAATCGAACAGAGGTCTAATTTTGCAAAGTCTGTCTTTACTAGGTGCGTTTTATACATTATCACTGAGATGGAAAAATGTAAGGATTTGTTCGAATCTCATCCTGCTCATAGTTTTAGGAAATATTGGTGCTTCAACCAAAGGGTCTGTTAACCAGTAATCTCTCCTACAACCTTTTTTAGTTTGACCCATCAATATCAATAACCCAAGAAAAAGTTCTTCATATCGCTTGTTGTAACTTCCGTCGATGGTAAAGTTTTAGCAGAATTCTTATGCAATTTTTTCATTTGGAAGTGGTATAAATTGGTTTGAGAAACAACCAAATGAAAAAAGTCGTTATGACCTTCACGGTGACGGCTAAACCCGAATGATTCTAGTTCTAGGTCTTGTGTTAGTTCTAGTGATAGTGTAAAACTATAACTAATACTAAACTGAGAGCTAGAAACATTCGGGTTTAGCAGCACGTCTCTCAAGACGGCTAAACCCGAATGATTCTAGTTCTAGGTCTTGTGTTAGTTCTAGTGATACTGTAAAACTAGAACTAATACAAGACCTAGAACTAGAATCATTCGGCTTTAGCCGTCTTAAGAGCCGTGGGGCTAAATCTGAATGTTTCTAGTTCTGGGTCTAGTGTTAGTTCTAGTTTTACACTAGCATTATCACTAGAACTAACACAAGACCTAGAACTAGAATCATTCGGATTTTAGCCATCTTGAAAGACGTGCAGATAAACTCGAAACTTTCTAGTTCTAGTTTTACACTATCACTAGAACTAACATAGAACCTAGAATCATTCAGGTTTAGCCGTCTTAAGAGACGTGGGGCTAAATCCGAATGTTTATAGTTCTCGGTCTTGTGTTAGTTCTAGTGGCAGTGGTAGATAGCGCTAGTTAGCATAAGATATTACTATGTTGTATATTCTTATTTCTCTAGTCTACAGACGCACGGCTAAACCCGAAACTTTCTAGTTGTAGGTCTAGTGTTAGTTCTAGTTTTACACTATCACTAGAACCAACACAAGACCTAGAATCATTCGGATTGAAATGTTTCTAGGCGGCCGGCAACATGTCGAATTTTCCTAGTGTAATTTTTGTTTAAAACTGACCAATAACAACCCCTCTTTTTGGCGCTTCAATTTAAAAACACTCCTCCGAATTAAAAAATAGAGTATAGTAAAACATCAATGGTTGTTTTAAAAACATTTTTGTTAAAAAGGTTCTGAATCATTATATCGTAATGCTCAAACTATGTCTTCCACAAGCACAGAATCAATTCGTTGCAAAGAGGAACAATCAATTCCTTCTAGTGTTAAATTATGCGTCACTAGTCCTGTGATAATATCTCCTATTAATATGACTGCTGTACAAAAATCATCGGAGGTAAATTTTATTTATTTTTTTAAATAAAAATGCTTTTAATCAAAATTATTTTTAGATACAAACTTCTTTATCACCACCCGCAAGTATAATACAAGAAAATCCTTCTTTAAGTTCGCCAACATCACCCCACGGTTCTTTAGAATCGTTAAATCGCGAGCCTATACATCGCGAACAAAGACGAGCCGGACATATCCACGCAGAACAAAAAAGAAGGTACAATATTAAAAATGGTTTTGATGTGATGTATTCGTTAATACCACCATTAAATCAAAATCCCAACGCTAAATTAAGCAAAGCGGCGATGTTACAAAAAGGGGCCGAATATATCGTTCAATTACGAAACGAAAGGGAACAACTTAAAGATGAAATGGATAGTTTAAGGCAACAAATCGATAGTTTAACTACATCTATAAGTAATTGTCAGTGTTTGTTACCCGCAACGGGGGCTCCCATTTCATCAAAAAAGCGTGATTTAAAAATGCAAGAGATGTTTGACGAGTACGTGCGGATTCGAACAAACGAAAATTGGAAATTTTGGATTTTTAGTTTGTTATTTAAACCTTTATTGGGTTCGTTTAATAATTTTGTTTCAACCGCAAGTTTAGAAGATTTATATAAAACTACTTTTCATTGGGTTGAGCAACATTGCGCGTTAGGAGATCTGAGACCAAGTAAATGTTTATTAATTTAATTTATTAATTAATTAAAAAAAATAATTTTTTGTTTTAGTTGTTTTTAATTCCCTTAAATATTTATGTACAAAAACCGAAATATTATTAATGCCTGATAAGTTACCTGAAGAAGCAAGAAGTCAAGTTGGTCCATCTACAACAAATCACGCAGACCTTTGAGTTGGAAAAGAAAAATTATCATCTCTTGCCATATGGGTCAATTATTATTAATTAATTAATTAATAACCCACTTACAAATAAGCATAAAAACAATGTGATTTCTTAATTTTAATCTAAAAGAAAGCTGTAGAATACTTTGATATATAACACAAAAAAGGAACATATAATTTGTGCCTTAAAATACCTAGTTTTAGATTTCAAAAGGTACTTACCCCCAAAAAAGTCCGTTACTTTTTATTATCATATTTTTGTCGTAATAATTCGTGATTGTCGATGTACCAAATAATTGTTTATTTCTTTTTTGTTAAAAATTTTAAACCCGTAGATTTATTTAATAAACGTTTTATTGAAATTTTTTTATTATTTTCTCTCAAATAAATAAATACATAATCATAACATATATACAAACTGAACCACCCCCAAAATTAAAAAGAAAAAAAAATAATTGAGAGGTTTATTTATGAAGGCAGCTTATTTTTTTTTTTAGTACAGTTAAAATTTTATTAAAAATGTATTATTAATAATCTTTATTTAAATAAAGGTGAATGTAAGCCACATTAAAAATAAACAGCTCAATTAAATAAATACAAGCATCTATAATTTATTATTATAGAAATAGTAGGACACTTTGTTTTTGTTAATTTTATTACTTGGCTAATAATTAAAGTTTATTGTCATTAAACGGGGTGCTAAATTATGAAAAAGCTGCCGTAAAAATGCTTATTTATTTATTTTTTTTGATCATTGCTTTCCCTTTTAATAATTTTAATTTTTAGGACTACTTCAGAGAGATTTAGTGAGCGCGTGATTATAAAGAAAAAATTGTTCGTCTAAAACCATTTTTAAAATAACCATATTAAAAACAAATACAATATATATTATATAGATTATATTAAATTTAACAAACATAAAGAAAAAGGAATTAATATTTTCAGGAAGAAAAAAAATTAATAAAGGTTAAGTACAAGAGTGCACATTCGGTCCAAAACTTTCTGTAAAAATACTATTGTATGTGTATGTTGTGTATATAATAATAATAATAAGGCAACCTCTACAAATAGCTCTTTCTTGTCGCATTGCAACAATAGCCGAACTATGGAATTTATCGATGCTAAACACTAATTGATACATATGTAGTTTATGTTTTTGTGTCTTTACGGATGTAATTAAATGTGATTGGGCGATGAAACGAGCGAAATTTCAGTCGGTTATGGAAATTTGGGCGAACCCTATTAACGCTTTATCATCAGGCGTTTCGTTACTATTCACACCAGAATTCTAAAAATTATTTAAATAATATTAATTAATTAAAACAAATTGTGAAAAAACTTACCAAAGGAAAAGTAACCACTTTCATTGTATCCCTACTCTCAACCAATTTTTGTAAATTCGTTGTAATTGCCACCATATCTCTACTATCAACTAAATTCGCGCCAACAAGTTCACTCGCGATTCCTTCCGCTGAATCTGTTCCCACGTTAAACTCAAATCTTATATCATTCAATTCTCGTTTAGCATTTCTAAAAAGAAAAAAATAAATCGTTAAAGTTGTTCTTTTTTGAATTAAAATGTTTTAATAACCTGCATGGTGGAGGGAACTCTTCAGGAATTCTAGGAAAAGGAATGGGATTTTTTTGTTGATTAAAATGGGATTAATAAAGTTTCATTATACAATTTTACATCATGATTATTAAGATATGATTTATAGTCTCGATCTTGCAATCAAAGTGAGCGCATATAATACAGTTCTTTTATTTATACCACCTCTTGGAGCTCAGAGCCAACCTTTGTTACTGCCAGAGGCTTTCCACAACTGGAAAGTCTCTGCCTTGGTTTCAATGTCAGACAACAGGTGGATCACTTTCGATCTAGGTATAAAAAAGATCTGGAAAAACCTGAAGCGTAACCCCAGGAACACTGACGTGAACAACTTCAAATCGGTGTTATCAGGATGTTTGAGCGATATAAGGTTAATCCGGTGTAATTTGAGCAGGGATGTTGAGGAACGATCATTGGTCTTGACAAATTCCCTTACAATTGCGTATAAAAAGGCTTGTACACTCCTCCTGAAAGCTGATTCAGGACGTGCCACTCTGTGGTGGTGCGACCTTAAGAGGGAGGTCAAAGCAGCCTTCAATAAAACCAAAAGCTCGAGATTAGATTCCGATTGGAACTGCTATAAAGGCAAGCTATCGGAGTTTTTAAAAAAGTGTTCGCCGAAAGAAGAGAGGAGATCTGCGAAGAAGTGACCTCTGGAAACGAACTCTCTCGTCTTAAAAGGGTTCTGGCCTCAGATCCGAATCGGCGAATAAGTTTATAATGGAGAAACAAACCACACACCGACTGCAGAAGACTGTTAGCTGAAGATCTGCACGCAGGATAAAATAAGCTGGGCAATAAACAGCTTTTCACCTTTCAAAACTCCTGGACTTGATGGTATCATTCCCAGTTATTGACGTCAGGTTTTGGTGAACTTCATACCTAAACCGGGTAAGCAAAACTATTTCCTTCCGAAGTCTTTCAGACCAATCAGCCTCTCCTCGTTTGTATTAAAAACCTTAGAGAGACTGTGTGATCGTTACATAAGGGATGATATCTGTCTTGTCGATAGACCCTTAGCTTCTAATGTTTTGTTACTTTTTGAAGAGACAACTTTTTAACTACACAGTTAATAATAATCTATTACCAGCAATTCAGTCCGGGTTTCGACCTTTCGACAGGGGACAGCACGCTATTGCGGTTCTACCTGACTACAGCAAAGCCTTTGGCAGGATTAATCATGAAATGCTGTTAGCAATGTTGAATTATTTGGGATTATCGAAAGCTGCCGTCAAGCTATTCGCTAGCTTTTTATCTGATCGTCAGCAGTTGGTTAAAGTAGATGATCACCACTCGCAACTGTTACCAATCACAACTGGCGTGCCTCAGGGATCAATTTTGGCTGCTTTACTTTTTTCCTTATATACCTCACAATTACCCAAACAAGTCAAACATTGTTCCCTGCACATGTACGCGGATGATACACAGCTCTATATAACGTTCGAGAAAAATGATATAGACGCCGCTTGTTTCAAACTCAATAACGATCTAAAAGCAATTTATAACTACTCTAACAAGATGTCTTTAACTCTCAACCCATCAAAATCAAAAATTATTACTTTCGGACCTATGAATCTTAATGATTGCAATGTCGTGCTGAACGGGGAAAGATTGCTGGTATGCGATGAAGCAAAGAATTTAGGTCTCATTTTGGACAGGGAGCTTAGATTTAAGAGACACGTGTCATCGTGTTTACAAAAATCATATGGCATATTGAGAACGCTTTATCCCCATCGCCACACCCTTCCAATAGATATTAAAGTAAATTTGTGCGATAGTTTGATACTCTCAATATTTACGCATGCTGATGTTGTATATGGGCCCAACCTGTTGGAAGTAGATAAATATAGAATTCAACGAATGCAAAATAATTGTTTAAGGTTCATATACGGAATGCGTAAGTATGACCGAATTTCTCACACTCTGGGAATGTGTGGTTGGCTTAATATGATGAACCGGCGCAAACTCCATTTCCTGTGCTTATGTCATAAAATAATTCTGAACAGAACCCCACCATATCTTTACGAAAAAATACGATTTCGGACGGATGTTCATAACATAAATATCAGACATAAGAATACTATCACAATCCCGGTGCACAGATGTGCAATATTCAAACGATGCTTTTCCTACAATGTTTCAAAATTGTACAATGAATGTCCGTCCGAACTTAAAGCGTTATCGTGTTGCTCCTTCAAGCGTAAGTTGCGTGATGTGCTTTACAAACAACAAGACTCAGGTCAGAGATGAGAAGGCTATCACAAAAGAAAGAGCGCTGTGTGATAGGGACGTGTATGCAGGGTTTTTGTTACTTTTTATTGATATTTTTGTTTTATTCGATTAAAAGTACTAAAGTAAGTGGTTTGTCGTTCTTTCCTCTTTTTATTTTTTTTTTTAATTTTCTGCTTAGTGAATTTTGTTTTTGTTGTTTTTTTTTCTCTTTTCTTGCTTTTTGTTCGATTAGCTCATAATTTTTACCGGACCGCCAGGAAGAACAGGGAGCATATAATTGTAACCTGATGGCGGTTCCAATTGATCAAGGATTAATTAAGTTTAGTAATATATATATATTATAGTAAATTGTATAAATCATAAAACCAATAAAGAGATTATTATATAGAGGGCACCTTTGATAAGACGATCTGAGCATAATGTTCCTCCTACCCTCTATGGCTGGATAGAGATTTCCCTCAGACAAAGAATCGTAAAGCTAAGGGCTGGCACCACCCTTAAAAAGGTTGTAACGCGAGGATGTCCTCAAGGAGGTGTTCGTTCACCACTTTTATGGAACCTCATTCTAGACAGCCTTATTAAACGCCTCAAAGAGGCTAAATTCGTTACCGTCGGCTAAGCTGAACTAAGCTAAACTATCCTTGTCAGGGGAAAACATGTGGGGGTGTTATTTGACAGGATACAAGAGGCTCTCAATATAGTCGAGAAATGGTGTGAAAGGCAGAAATTGTCGGTTAACCCCAATAAGACCGATTTAATTCTTTTCACACGGTTGCGGAAAATTGATAATTTTCGATTGCCCTTGTTCGTTAAAGGCCCACTGAGTTTGTCTAAAGAGGTCAAATATCTGGGTATCACTGGTATCACAATCCTTGGTGCAATAAGCGGAACGCCAACTCTAGCAATGGATGTTCTGGTTGGCCTCTCATTTGAATATAGATAAAGTGGCTAGAACTACCATTTACAGATTTAAGCAATATGCTCAAAACTGTTCCGACATGTCCTGCCAATGGGCTGGGGAACACATTATAAGCACTGATACTGTGCTATCAATGCCGTCAGATTTGGCGGGATCACTATCAGTGTTTAATGCTCGATACCAGATTGTACTGCCTGAGCGGCAGTCCTGGATCGAAAACGAAAATTCTCTGATTCGGGGAGATATTTGCATGTAAACAGATGGATCAAAAACGCCGGAATGGGTCTGGGCAGGAGCATACTGTCAGACATCTCGGATTAAGAAAGCTTACAGCCTGAGTACGTACTGTACTGTATTCCAGGCGAAAGTATTTGCTATTGACATGGGTGCTAAAATCCTTCTTGGGAGAGGAGTGAAGAACTCGCTCTCCAAACTCTGAAGGCCGTGAGAACGGTGTCGTCTCTGCTTCATGACTGTAAAAAAACATTAAACACACTGAGTTGTGATAACAGAGTTTCTTATGATCTGGGGTTGCCAAATATGTCAAACTTTGATGGCGAGCTAATAAATGACCGTGTATTGTTGAAATTGCAAATAAAAAG